ATAGAAGCCCTTCCTGTGGCTCCGTGGCAGAGCGTGGTGGTTGCGGGGGCAGGGGCAGAGGGGACTGGATCCGGCCAGCCTCTCCTCTGCCTCCCAGGGGGCTGCCGGGGCCTGGCTGGCCCTCAGGGAATCTGCAGCCTGGGGGTTGTGCATGGCATGCGGGGCCGTCCTCTCTGGCCCTATGGAGGACGGGGCTGGCTCTGCAGAATCAGAGCCTGGACCGCTCGGCCGGGTGGGCGCCAGGAGCTCAGGACCGTGCTGCGGGGCTGCTCGAGGGCCCAGCGGTTCAGCGGGGGTGTCTCGCCCTGCTGGGAGCGCTGCAGCATCTGGGAGGGGCACCTGGGCACCAGGTGCCGAAGGAAGCGGTTGGGGAAGGGTTGGAGTGAGGCTGGCAGCAAAGGGGGGAGCGGGCAGGCCAAGAGGCGGGGGCAGGAACTCAGCAGCCAGCCCGAGTCAGGCGGACCAGGGAGTTGCACAGCCCGCAGGCGCCGATCAAGGCCCCTCTTTGCGCATCTGCTTCCTCCAGAGCCCAGCCAAATTGCGGGGCTTGCAGGCAGGAGGTGGTCACATGCCCACTGCCTACTGTCACTGCCCTGCCATGGAAGGTAATTGTCCCCTCAGCTTTCCATGCTGTCTGTGTTCGTGGCCATCCTGGTCTGGTGCTAATGAATTCCACGGGTGAATTCTCTGCTCTTGCGTGGATGGTCCTGGTTCAGGGGTGGTGGACGGTCTGCTCGCGAGGGCTGGCCAGCGGGACTCACCCGGCCTTTGGCTGCTCCTGGGTGCTCTCTGGCCAAGCAGCAACGACATTTTGCCGCGCGTGGCCATCCTGTTTGCCCCCCCCCCCCTCACTTGCGGCCCGGAGGCTGCCCTGAACGTGGCCTCCGCCTTGTCTTCCTACTTCGGCCCTTCCTGCGGAAATGGGGCACAGCTAGCTCCGTGGGGAGAAGGGAATCCCCACTTGCCAAGAAAGAAGGGGGCATGGTCCTTTTGAGCCTGTTTGCCTCCCCTCTTGGGTCCCATATTTCTGGGATCCCCCCCGCTTCGAGAACTGGGATCTGCTGGTGTCTTTCCCTTTGCTTCCCCGCAGCCCCTCTGTCTTTGCCACAGGTGGTGGCAGTGGAAACGTGGCCCCCCAGCTCCTCCTGGTCCTTCCTGGCTCCAGAAGCGCTTCCTCCTCTTTGGTGGGCCGGGAGCTGCTGGGTGCTGCCCTCTTCCCTTGGCTGCTCCGACGGCTGG